TTTTAAAGGGAACCTATTATGCTTTTCCGTACTTCGCCATATATATGTTGCATGTTGAAGTTAAACAAAGCCAAAGTGTCCAATAATGAGGTAAATATATGATAAAGTAATTCCTGTTAGCAAAAAGCTCAGATTTCAGGCTTCATATTTTTCTATGAAGTTATAAAACTTGGTTATAAAAGCATGGCTGAGCACAGCCACAAAGTACAGGAACCCCCTCAGTCTGTCAAGTTATCCGACTGCCCTGTTCAGGAGTTTTTTTAAACAGTAAATATCAAATTCAGTCTCCTATATCACTACCTCACACTACACGCTGCAGATAACACCGGCATGGGGACGAAGCACATGTTCACAAGCAATGGGTGCAAAACCTCAGCAGGCTTCCTCAAGGTTGGCCAATCGGACAATGAACTGCATCAAGGGCCAGTATAAGATAAATAAGGATGTTTTTAAAGAGAGTGAATAAATCAACGCTACTCTAGTGGAGTCTCAGACTAAGAATATAGAGCTGTGAATGAGCACAATAGGTCCCCTTTAAGCAACGTGTTATTCTGGTTGGACAAACAAACCTTAGCTGAAAATATTACAGAAAAGCAGAAAAATACTTTGTAGGAGATATCCAAAACCTTGGAGAACTGTAATGACTTCTATATTAGGAAACATTGATATTTATTAATAAGTATGAATAATTGGACAACATATTGTGAAAGCTAACTCCCCAACACACTCAAACTGATTGAGAAGTTATTAAATTCACATTTAATCGACAACCAAATCTACTGATATTTTATGATGCTGTTGAAGGATGCTTCTCGCTGTGTCAGACTTCCTCAAAGAACGCTGATTGGCCTAAACCACTGTGGTTGGTGTGTGTGTTTGTGAAGTTCACAGTATGAAGTATAGAGAATATTTGCAACGTGCAAGATAGAGATTAAGAGTTCTGCTTAAGAGGTAAAAAGAAAATACTGTAAAAAAAACTAACAGAGAACAAAGACTACACATACGAAGGATTACGGTTAGTTAATTTAAATACTAACATGCATCTTAATTTGTAAAACATCTGTGTCAGTGAACTAAGACTAAGACTAAGACTTACTTAAGTATTATTTCTTGTTTTGATGCCATGCAGCTTCAGAAGAAACTAAACTCCTGTTCTAACTTCCACTCAGCATCCAGTAGAGGGCAGAACAGCACCAGGAAACACATGCATGTGTCTCAACCAGCAGCATCATCCACCAAACAGTTTATCCTGAGTCACAAACACGCGGCATCGTTGTGACCTTTAACCCTGAGCGGGTGGAGTTACCAGGAGCTGTGGCAGGTAAAATAGCGGTTTTACATATTTAACTGAACTGATTGTGGTAAAGCTCCTCTTATCTGGCCCGTCAGGCTGAGGAAATTAAACTATTTGACCCCGGCTCTGAGCTGCAGTGTGTTGAACTTTTTGAACCTCCTCAGGAAACCATGTAAAGGAGCCTTCACTGTGGGACCATGAAGCAGTTTTTACTGGTTTGATAAATCAAAAAAATATTTAATATTCTCCCCAAAAAGCTGACATTTTAAACATTAAAACCTGAAGCAAATGAAAGAGTCTGTGTACACATAAATATATATATTACATATCAAATAAATATTTGTATTACTATTATCTCCTGCCAACAGTTATTAAATAATCCTAAATTCTTCATCTTACATAAAGCTCATATAATATATGGCCACCATTGCTCGGCTCCTCAGTTCCGAGGAGTTATATGAGCAGTAGTAGTAGTAGTAGTATATAGCAGATATATTTTCAGGCCCATAAAGGAATGCTTTTCCCAGTTTGGTGTGGAAGACCTCGACTGCACCGAGTCTTTACCCACCTCTAGGAGGAACTGGGAGTCGGAGCTCATCACCATTCTGGGTGAATGGGAACAAATCTGGCGTAAGATCTGAAAGGGAAGAGTGGAGGCTGTTAGAGCAGCAGATTAATGCTCATGGTTTTGGACATATATAATGTTTGGGTGTCCACATACTTTTGGCCACATTT